CTGAATGTAATAAAATCAGAAGAATCATTATCGCGTTCCGATGCTTCGCTGGTTATTTTTTTGTCATTTAAATTTTAGTCAGGCTATTTGTCCAGTCGGGTAAGTAAAAAAAAACAAAACAAAAAAAAAAACATTTTAAACTAGCTAGAAGGCTGGTCAGCTAGCTGTAGCTCGACCTATATAATAATAATAATTATTATTATTGAGAACATTATATAAACAAAGAAGGTAGTTCAACCTGTATTCCACTACTGCAATTCTGTCTGATGACGCAGTAATACCGCGGGGGAAGAAAAAAAATCTCCGGTCTGTCCAATGATTGTAAACAGTCATTAGGTCCGACTGAAAAAGATATTTTAGCGGTAATGTGACCAATAATATTTAAAGGTCCCATGACATGCTGCTTTTTGGATGCTTTTATATGTTAAAAAACCTCATAAAGTGAAATTTTCATGCCATGGGACCTTTAAGACCTATTGAATCTGAATTTAAGACATTTTAAGACTTTTTAAGGCCTTTTATTTGGAAAACGTTATTTAAGACTTTTTAAGGACCCGCGGACACCCTGTTACACGATCAAGGCCCAGAAACATTGCAAGGACATCGGTAAAATAATCCAGGTGACATCAGGGGTTCAACCGTAATTTTACAAAGCTACGAGAATACTTTTTGTGCACAAAAGAAAAAAAAAAGACTTTATTCAACAATTCGTCTCGTCTGCGTCACCCTAGCGCCATTTTGGAGAGTATCCACTGAACGTAAATTGCATATGCTGTTTTGTGTCAGCTGCGTCACGCGGATACGTTGTTTTCATTCAAATCAAAGCGTAAACAATGTAAACAACACAACAAGCTTTAAAATGTAAAAATTATTTTATTATTAAATAATGACTTAGAATAAGTACATGAAATAATAATAATAACCAGCAACAACATGCGGGCCGTCTGCCCCAATTCTGAGAATCCCCCCACAAATCTAAATCATTTACTGTGTCCACAAATTCTCCCAAATATTTTCATATCCAATACATATCTTATGGTTTTAGGGGTCTCTTTTCCAAATATTTTATTTTTACATGTTTAAAGCAGACAGATCTGATTAGCTCACTGTCAATTTCACAAGCATGGACATTTTGAAGATGTGCCTCGATTTCTTCTCTACTTGCTTGTATTCTCTCAAGGAGATCATCCATAGAGTACTAAAAAATGAAATAAAAAGAAAAACATTTGATGCCACTTCTGGACAAAGCTTTTAAAAGTACAAGCACTGTTAATGTGTTGGTAATTAAATAATAAAGGAAATGTAGACCCCAACACGCCTAAATCGAACATATTTTGAGTACAGGTTAATAACTGCTAACTACTTCTAAACAGCAGTGGCATACCTTCAGTCCTGGCGCCTCCTCCTGCATACCCACTGCTGGCCCATCATATGGATTCTCCATGAGAAGTTTCTTCAACTTCTTTAACCTTGGTCTCTGCCTTAGCTCCCAGTAACAATTTGAAAACCCCCAAATCTGAGAAATCAAAAAGCTATTAGAGGACAAAATCACATCAACAGAGGATAAAATCACATCTTCAGGGAAGACTTCCCCAGTCACCTGTGCATGCATGAGTTGAGCAGATGCGGAGATGTCTGGCAGCTGATCTGGAGTTTTACATCCCGGGACAAACAGCAGCAGATTTGACGTGTCCGCGAATTTCAAGGCGTACGTCTTTTCTTCACTGCATAGAACTGCATGCTCGTCTTTATCACCTGATTACTAGACTAATGAGAAATCCAGGCATCACGACAGATGAATGATTCCACAACAACAGCATGCAATACTAAATTTGACTCAAAATGTTTTTGAAATTAATTTCTGTCTAAATAATACTGAGATGGTAAGTTGCTCTTTCAGCTAAAAAGGAAGTAATAATAGCTAACTTACCTCTTGCCTGCTTCAATGTGTTTGCAAAGTGTTTCATCCAGCTCCATGAGACAGTAATCGCCCGACGATACATTGCCTCCGAAAGAAAGACAGTAAGTGACGGGCTGCAGGTCTTCTTCTTTTACTTTAGCGATTTGTAGCGTGGCTTGAACCTCTTCTAATGTCCTCATGCTGTAAGAATTTGTTTTATCCAAGTCGACTCAACATAAAGGCTTGTGCCGTTGTCAGCGCTCAACTTTCCCGCAGTATTTTGTCCGGAAGAAAAGGTTGATTGACAGCAGTAAGAGCCAATGAACGTTTTCACGCGGACCCGTGAAAGCGTGTCACCGTCACTTGTCCACTAGATGGCGCTCCATGACACGATTTCATTTACTGGCCGCGTTCTTTTCTGTTTTTTTTGATGCTCACAAAAATGTGCAGAACCATTGAACACTAACTCCATACAGTATCATGTCCCCAAGGCGTTTTGTGTTTTCTTTATACATGTAAATCCCATGTTTTATCTTAAAAAAATGCTCTTAATTGACGCTGTTGCCCTTGGTAAACGTACACTTATTTGAGAAAAACTTTAATGGGGCAAAATTGTTTGTTGTGGTGGACATATGACTTCACAACTGTGGACTGTTTTGTAATTTTAATAATAAAATAAATTAATAAATAAATATAATTACCCACAAATAATCACACAATAAACATGTATTAAAATGGTTTATGTTTATCTCACTCTTTTCAAATTTTTAAAAATGCAATAATTTATATTCTTTTTTGATATATATAAATAATTATAGGTTTTTAGATTTCAGAATTTGAAATATAGGTCTGGGACTATAAAATGTATGCTAATGCATAAATAAATGTATCTTTTTATTTGTTTTACATTTTAAATAATTGTAAATAATTTATTTTACCTTTTATTGTTAATTGTATTTCTTATGCATCTGATATGGCTGTTTTTTTTTTTAAATCGAAAAAATATTTAAAATTTTTAAAATAGCCTATACAAAGCATTTTGAATTACCACTGTTTATGAAATGTGCTTTATTACATAAAACAATTGAAATGAAATAAAATAAAATAGAAGACGATTGAAAAATAGCAAAAGGATGAATGAATGGTAAAAATCAAATATTTATTTATTTATTTTAATTTTCAAGACTTTCATATAATACAACGTAAAATGTTTAAACCAATATGTTTTGAAGAATCATCAGCATATGTTGTTACATTCACACCGCTGTACGAAACAGTTTAATCTTAGATTAAAACGGGTTTTGCTGGGTGTTTACAGTGAGTATTTGGGAGTAAAGCATGGAGTAAAGTGATGAACTCTAGGCTCCGCCCCTCACGGTGAACTCCCCCTCTGACTGAGGATGGTCATGTTGACTCGCCCTGCAACACGGGCAGTAACGTGCTTTCAGTGAAGAGCAGTAAACAATCCACAATAGCACGAAAAATACGAATCGTCCCGAGTCTGTCTTCAGGAATAATCTGCTGTTTGAAGCTTCGGTGTAATTTATTGCAAGGCCTCGGACTGACTGGATGTACTGATGACTGAGGGCACTTGATGGCACACAAAAAGACAAGTAGTTAACGTTACTTCGAGTCGTTTTGACCTGTGGTCAGCTGAACAGTGATGCTCTTTAAGTGACATCGCTGCTATTACTCTGCAAACATAAATTCGGATCAGTCTGACGTCTCCGCATCGGAACTAATAAGGTAAACGATGCTTTCTCCTTCGTATCATTGCGTGTTTATTTCGATGTTCTTACATTACGGAGACTGATTTGAATCTTTCGGATATTGCTTATGTAAAATAACAATAATAATAATAACATGCTGCTGTGTTTTCACTCATTCCATTTAACTGGGCAGTTCGTCTACCTCAAATATTAAGGGTGTCATAACAATCATCACGCCCCAGTCTGCCATATGAGAGGCGTGTTCAGTGCACCCAATACAAACTCAAGCACGCTGTGCGTGTCAGGTCATTTCGCAAACAGCGTTTTTCTCCTCCAAATGCTGATTTGTCACATTTGCGTGTATGATTTTATATTCAGCTTGGCTGTCAGAGATGGACGGCATCGGGAACACCATGCAGAAGAAGGCTGCTGAGCTGGAGCGCATGGCCGAAGTCCTCGTTACAGGAGAACAGTTACGGTAGGTGTGGCTTGACACTCCAATTTCACGGACGCGACGCGTCAAAACCAGGACGCTCCCATTTAAAGGGGTCATATGATGCTGCTAAAAATAACATTATTTTGTGTATTTGGTGTAATGAAATGTGTTTATGCGGTTTAAAGTAAAAAAAAACACATTATTTTCCACATACTGTACATTATTGTTTCTCCTCAATGCCCCGCCTTTTTGAAACATGTCGATTTTTACAAAGCTCATCGGTCTGAAAAAGCGAGGTGTGCTGTGATTGGCCAGCTATCCAGTGCGTTGTGATTGGCCGAATACCTCAAGCGTGAGACGGAAATGTTACGCTCTTATCATACTGTTGATGCCGTGTCCCGGCTGGAGCAACGAGACAAACACATTAAAACCCATTACAAACTAGGCATTTGTTGCATCCAGTGGGGACATAATTACTGATTATAATGACTTATACTGTCTTTTTACGCGTTGCGTTGCATTGCATCTCGCCGCGTAAACATAAAACTCTGTCGGCATTTGTTCAACTTTACAGATCTTCTTTATGCACCAAGAGCTTGTAACACATCATATGACCCCTTTAAATGAATGAAACTGCAAGCGCGCGACGTCGCTGGTTTGTCTCGTCGCTATCAGTAGATCTCTTCAAATGTGGCACTGCGAGTAATTGAATAATGAATTCAGAATAGGGTGTCATGTGTACCCTTTACTCCTTTATTAAACATTTTGGATTTAAATATAGTCGGTTTCGCACATAAAGACAGGCGGTCGGTACACCCATTTGTCATTACACAATATATATATTTCGTGAAAATAAAATTCATCCAGTTTATTTTGTAAATGCATAATATAGATGTAAATTGTGAGTTATTCATCTATGTAAAAAAAAGTAATTTTTTTTTATTAAGGTTTCTGACATTTATTTTTAAAAATACTGATGTGCACCGATAACTCATTTATAAAAACACTGCAATATTCCATACAAAAATAATAATTTTATTGTCATGGTGACTTTAATCAAAATCAGTCTTTTGGTGAAAATGTCAGACTTTTTCCTAGTGACGTATGGCGGACTTATCCGGTCATTCAGGTGGTTCACCCAGAAATGAAAATTCAAGAAGATATTTTGAAGAATGTTGGTAACCAAACAGTTGCCATTAACTTCCATAGTATGGAAAAAAAATCAGTGGCTACCAACAACTGTTTGATTTCCTGCATTCTTCAAAATATCTTCTTTTGTGTTCAGCAGAAGAAAGAAATTCATACATGTTTGGAACAACATGAGAGTAAGTAAATGATGACAACATTTTTGTTTTTGGGTCAACTATCCCATTAAGAAAAATACATAAAGTACTATGTATTCAAGGTATTTTCCTGCCTACAGCCTGAGAGTGTCTCTGTAACCCTACATAGGGCAGACAGTTTGGAAAATGGATGGATGGAGATAGTAAAAGTGTTTTTTTTTTTTTTTGTTAAAGTCTTGGTTTACACATATGTTCATAAGGTACACAAAAGACACCCTTTTAATGGAATGATCTCTATGAATCTGCTGGATATTTTTGTTTGCAGTTGATCACAACCAATGTAAATTTTTATGCATAATGTAACTGATTGGTGCTTTTCCAGACAGCTGCTCTGTTTGCGGTGAACTGTGAAGTTCTGTGAATGAAGCAGAAAGGTGTTTAGTCGATGCATCTGATTAATGATTGCTGAATCCCAGTACACGACACAGTAGTTTTTTCAGCATTACAATATCTAGCAACTTGAACACTGGTTTTTATTTAAAACTTATCTACAAGCTGTTTTATTTCACAGGATTTCACATTCAATGTCCTGAATGTGCTTTAGTTTCAGGTGCGTATAATAATAATAATGTTAAGGGATCTCTAACAGACCCCCTGGAGGTTAAGACATCACATCTCATTTTGAGAGAAAGATTTTATTTCCTAGTTGTGTGGGAATATCAGAATCATAGGACTGGTTCTGTTATTGTAGGTCACAGTGAACCAGTTTTATCTGCAGATTGCTGGTATCACTTTGCTATGTACAGCTGACTCAGGTTTGTATAATCAGTAATCAGGCTGTGACAGCAGGCCCACATTTTACCCGGTCCCAGCTCAGGCATACCTGATTCAGGTATCGGGCCGTCAGGTTAGCTTTACCCTATCTAGGTTTGTTGTTGGTAGTCAAAACTGCATTAAGTTCAGTTTGCGGCCAGGTTTAAATGAGAAGAATACACTAGGGGTTTTCATCTGGAGATGAAGTGCCTCCTCAAAAATATTGATGGACAAAATAATCAGAAGTATAAAAAAAAGAGAAAGATAATGAACTTTAAGATAAAATAGTAAATAGAACACTCATTTTTTTTGTGGAGTAACATTTTCCAACAGCATATAAAGTTTATCACTCCCTTTGGTCACATCTATACGCAGTTATTATTGTAGTTTTACATTTTTAAGGTCATTTTTATTTTTATTTTATTTTCACTTTAGCTTAGTTTTCATTAGTTTTCCCTGTATCGCTGTTTGTTTTAGTTTGATTGAGTTTTCTAGTTTCAGTTTATTTAGTATTCCGTTTTAGTATTTTAGGGCTACCAAAATACTACTGTAATATAAAATTGCTAATTACGAATTTATTTTCAATTAATTTAAAATAAATGTAATGGTATAATTTAAAAATGTTTATCAGCTTTCAATTTCTCAACAGTCCTGTGTTGTTATGGCATTTTCATTCTTAATGCAGGCGGGGTGTAAAGGCCCTTTTGCATTAAAAATGATATATTTGACGATAACTATAGCAATAACTGTATCAGTGTCCACGCCAACACACAGTATTGTTCTGTTTATTAGAAGCGCATGATGCAGTTTTGTCATCTGCCTCTTTAAAGGGGTCATATGATGCTGCTAAAAATTTATGCACCAAGAGCTTGTAACACTCCAAAGAGAAAGGAAAAATTGAAATCGCATCATATGACCCCTTTAAATGCTCAACGTCTTTAAAGCAGGATAGATTCTGATTGGCTGTCAGTGTTTTTATAGTTCATTAGTGGGAAAACAAACAATGTGAAAGTTGAAATGTGACAATGTGAAATGTGATTTAGATTCCAAGTTATGTTAGTCTTTATTTTTATTTTAGTTTTCGTTTTTGTTTTCATTTGCATTCACGGTAATGAAACTGCATCCCAATCAAATTAACTGGATATGACTTGATATGACTGGATACAAAACATGAAATGATCATTAATTCGAGCCAATTAGTCCATTAGTTCCATATGACTGCAAACCACATAAACATTAATTTGCTTCCTCATTTTACACGTCACCCACATGCCACTGGAATACATCAGGTGTAGCTGACATTTCACTCAGGCTATTATTTGGTAATGTTGTACCACACATGTCTCCCATTGCTCTATTGTTTGGTGTCAAAAGTGCCAAAGTGCACTTTAATGGTGTGAACTACTGGCTGCACACTGCTACAGACATGTGAGTCTTTGTTCAGTCACTTGTCAGCCCCATGCCGTTGTGTCAACTGCTGTACGACTGCTTGTTGCTGATAATATAATTGAGAATATGTAGCTGTCATTATGTGTCATTGTGTCAATATGTGTCATTATTTACTCATCCTCATGTTGTTCCAAAGTCAGTGGTGTTGAAAACATTCCAGACTCCTTTGACTTCCATTGTAGAATAAAGAAGAAAGAAAGGCTTGGTTTTAAATGACATGAGGGTGAAAAAAAAATTCATTTTTGGGTGAAAAAAAGAAATGAAACTGACCAAGGTTTGGCCCTGTCATCATAAATTCCTTAATCTAACACAGAGGATTAAGTGAAAGCTGCAGTAAAACTATTGCATAAGATCAAATGACAAATGATAATGTTGAATACAATTAGACAAATCCAATCCAATTATGATATGGACCCAAGACATAATAGACAAAAGCCACATGTTGGAACCTGAATTTTGACAAAACTCAAGGCTAGTCTAAACACATTACACATTAGGTGACTGGAATATGAATCTCCATGTTGTAATTGTCTCATTCTATGTCATTTGTCTGTTTTCGTATCTGTTCTATTTTTTAAGCCAAATCAGAAAGTCATTTTAGGCTGAATCTTCATGGATTGACCTAGGAATGATATAACTGCCTGTGTAAATGTAGGTATGGAGGTCAGTTTTAAAAAGTGTGTCGTGAAGTTACAGGTTTTGTATTGCTGGTTATTTCATGCTGGTTGCTTAATGGAGAATTCACACCAAAAAGGTGGAAAGATGGCTGTTGATCTGATTTATTTTCTGTTTTCCAGCCTACGGCTCCATGAGGCTAAGGTGATCAAAGACAGGAGGCATCATCTCCGCACCTACCCAAACTGCTTTGTGGCCAAGGAGATCATTGATTGGCTAATTGAGCACAAAGAAGCATCTGACAGAGATACTGCCATCAAGATCATGCAGAAACTTCTTGACCAGAGCATCCTTCACCATGGTGGGTTTGTCCACCACATACTGTACTTGAATTCCTATATTTGTATTCCACTATATTAAAGGGATTGTTCACCCAAAATTGAACATTCTGTCATTATTTCCTCATGTCATTCCAAACCTGTATGAAGATTGTCCTGACCACCGTTTTCCATATAATGATTGTGAAGGGGGACTGAGGCTGTCAAGCTCCAAAAAAATCTAAAAATCTCCATAAACATATCATAAAAGTGGTTCATTAGAATTGTGCACTGTATTACAAGTGTTCTGAAGCCATTCAATAGCTACAGTATGTTGATGAACAGACTGAAATTTAAGTCATTTATCACATCAATTGGCTTCACTGTACACATTTTTTTCCATTTTTGAGCTTCGTTGAAGGGGGAAGGTCAATGAATAACAGCCTAAATTTCAGACAGTATCACAGTATCAAAGTCATATTGACTGCTTTTATGATATTTTTAGGGTGATTTTTTTTTTTTTTTAATTTTGGAGCCTATAGAGGCCAAGTCCCCATTCACTTTCATTATATGGAAAAGAGCAGCAAAGATAAATGACAACAGAATTTTCATTTTTGGGTTAATGTTCCCTTTAATATTTTATGTGCAAAAGTATGACAAACCATGATCTCTGTTACACTGTCGATGAAACCAGTTTGATCTTTAAACCATTGCTTGTAGCAGTGTCTTCCTGTGTATTGTTCACTTTTTAGCTGCACTTAACTTACAACAAACCTGTTTTGAATCTGTTTGTCCTCACAGTTTGTGATGAGCACAAGGAGTTCAAAGATATGAAGCTGTTCTACCGTTTCAGGAAGGACGATGGAACCTTTCCATTGGACAGCAAAGCCAAAGTTTTTATGAGAGGCCAACGGATATATGAGAAGTAAGCGCTTTCATACATCATTAAAATTCTGAGAGATTATTGGTTTATTAATAGTTTACTGTTTTATTTGATGTCCATTTGTTAAGCATTAACATTATTATGTTTTCCTCTTCTTCATATTCATTATTGAGGTAGAGGTTGTTAAAGACCAAGCAAGGTAGTTTCTACTCTTCCTCTCTAGGATGTGATTGTGTTGTTGTTCATGTGCGACACAGGTCTGTACATATTGATTTTGAACATTTGGAGTCTGTCCGGTAAATGAACAGTGTCCATAGAAACAGATTTCAAGCAGATCGAGCATGCTGGGTTCCAGCTGGTTACATTTAGATGTAGCTGCTTTACCTGCAAGTTGTTGCTTTGCTGATGTATCTCAGCACAAAACCACACTCTAAAGAGAGAAAATTCTTCCTTTTGGTTTACTGTTAGTGAACTTAAAAAAAAAAGTTGATTTCATATTCATTTTATTTTATTAGTTTTCCAGTCTTGTTTTTGTCTTGAACTTGTCCTGTCTTGACCTCGGTATTTAAAAAAAAACAACATTTTAATAATTTTTAGCATGCTGTGTACACTGAATAAAATTGGTGGTAAAACAGTTTTCACTCAGAAATTGCAAGTCAATTTCACAAATAGTTACAAAAAAATGGTAAGTAATACATTGAATTAAACGATGTTTTGATGTAGAAAAACTGAAATGGTATTTTCTTGTTGTAACACATACTCCAATAATCTTATTTACAACCTCAAATAATTCCTTTTTACAGTGTACTGTCATCCACTGTTGTGCATGACTCGACAGTTAAACAGTTATTTGTTTTAATTACAATTATTAAGAAAGTAGCAAATACACAATGTGACCTAGTAATTTCTAAATTAAATTAATTTCTAAAGTAATTTAGTCATTAGTTATTAACATATTTAAGTAATGATTAATTATTCAATAAAGAGGTTTGTAAAATGTTACTTAGATTTTTATAAAACTGGTCAAGGGGGTCGTTTTTAAAAAAAAAATGTCATTATGCTTTAAAATTATTATTATTGTATTAATATTTTTTAGGCATGTAAAATAACTTCTGTTTAATCACTATTGAAGGTCTCTTTGAAAGATGATTATAATATCAGTTCATAACTTCAGTTCAGTTTCAGGTCTTAATTTAGCTTTACAATGGATCAAACATAAGGCAAGTACTTTTTGGTTGTATGTAGTGAAATACTGAATTAGTTGAAGCAAGGTTAATCTGAGCCATGAATGGTTTACCCATCTTGCAATAGCAGCTTGTGTTTGCTCTGCATTTATGACCAGAATAAGGTCGAGGTAGCAACATGTTGTCTCTCTGTCCTGCTGCACTGTAGACGTTCCTCTGCGGGCCGTCCTGCTCTTGCATAACAGGAAGATGAAGTCCAGCGGGAGACATCTGTCACACAAACCACCAGTGTGCTTTTATGTAATCACCATGGACACATTTGTGCTTGTGGTTAGTATTTGCAGACTTTGCTCTTAGGGAAGCTTGTTTGGTTCGCTTCTCATTATTGCTGAAGAGCTCAGTCTGCTGATGGAGTATAAATATAAAATGTTTTTGGGAGTACTGTATATGGAGTATTTTGTTTGATTATGGGTTAAGGCCTACATATGAAAATGGCCAGGAATGTTTTGCGATCCATTTCTAAGCAACCGTGATTAGCCTTTGTCAACTACCTTGGTATTTTTGATGCCTTCCTGGTGTCGTGGAGATTTTGAAAAGGATTGTTTGCCAGTGTTCTCAGTATATCTATACTGTGGGCTTGGGTTACTAAAGCCAAATGTAAAAAGAGGCGTATGGCCCCTTAAATAGCTCCAAGAACTTCCTGCTTCGATGTTTATTCAGATTGTTCCCTTTTGTCCTAATGGAGGTCTTATGTTGTAGTAGATGTTGAAAACATATAGTAGCATCTGGATCCCTTTACTTCTAGACGTCCACCTAGAATTCCACTACTGTAGAAATGCATGCAGAAAAACAAAAACAAAGAATGTCTGTATTTACTATTTTTATAGAAGGGTTAATAGTGCTTGAGGGAACTGAATATCACATCCACTGTTAAACTATAAAGATTTTTTCACTTCCACTTCCACTTTAATCATCAGTTCAGATTTTAGCTTGCCCTGGCAATATTTTACCTGGCTCTACCCCCCAAAAAATATACTTGTTGTCTTTCAGCAACTTACTTTGATTAAATAAATAATAATAATAATAATAATCATTTATATATATTTCTTTAAATTGTTATTATATATAAAAAAGTATTTATTATATTAGTTTTGAACATTATATATTTCATAAAACATTTTCAGTTTAATGTAATATATGATAAAGAAAATAAGGAAATAAAAAAACAATGAGCACAACAGCACACACTGAAAGTTATAGATGCATACTGAGGTAAAAAAAAGAAAAGATATTTATAATATATGATTGAGGTAAGCAACATTACACGACCAAGATGTTTCCCCGAATATCAGCACTATTGCAATGTGACATTGATTTTATACTATAGAAGTTCAATAAAACTTTTTTTACATTTTAGACAAAATATTGACTGGTTTTGCTCTCGCTGATGAAAATAGTTCCCAATCAAAGCCACAGCAGAACTGTTGTGTGTCTCCAGGCAACACAGCAGTGTTTCATTACTAATTGAATCAACTTTTTTTCAAATCTTACCGACCCCACCCAAACTTTTGAATGATGGGGTACATCAGCTGTATTCAACAGATTTTGCAAAGCAACCGTGTTCAAAACATTATCTTGCCTAATGAGGCAAATTAAAGTTCCATCAGCTGGGCCAAAACTCTCTTACCCTGGGACCGGGCCATCAGGCCACCCCTTATTTTTGAGTACTGACATGATTTCTCATGATTTGACAAGACTGCAGCACTAAGTGATATTTAGAGAGAGAAGCGTTGCATCACAAGCGTACTATGCAACCAGATCTGTGGCTTTCAGTGTTGGTGGAGCATTCAGGATATGGTTAAAATGGTGACCTGCTAACAGAAAATCTAGATATAAAAGAATGATGATCAAAAAACGGAAAGGGGCTTTAAACTAGGTCATTGTCACATTTGTTTTCTTGCAAAAGTCAGTCATTAATATATGGTTGCTCGACTGCAAGCAGTTTGAAATCACAGTTTGCGCAAGAATAGTCTCAATATGTACAGGGCAAACATTTAATACAGAGGCTCATATTGCTGGCACAGTATGTTGACTGATAGTCATTTGTGCCCTTGTTTGGCTCATTGGGATGTTTGCTCAAGCTGTTTCAGATGTATCATACTCTTTTTCTTGACCCGAATGGCCTGCAATTCTAATATCTACTGTGCATATGCTTCTATTATAAATAATCAGTTCTGAAATTGTGGAAGAGTCAGCGAGAGTTTTATTTTCCTCAGCTTTCCTCACATTTTATCTGAAGACTTGTATCTCTTATAGCAATCTTTATTTTGCTATGGTAATGTGCTGACAGCTAAACAGCGTGTCTTTGTCAGTGGCACGCATGAAAGCATTTGGTTTTGACCCGTCAGCACCTGCCTTTGAATGGCGGAGAATGTTGCATTTCTTGAAGCTTCTGTTGCTCTTCTTTTGTTGTCGTATTTAGCAGCACTAATAAACTTTGACCTTGTTTTTGATGAAATGTGAAAATCTCTTCACAAATCTTGCTGTTTTGTGGTGAATGATCTCTTAATGATATAAGCAATGCTTTTTACATGTTAATAAGTACGCTGTCCCGCTCCACAGGTTGATGAACACTGAAAACACCCTGCTGCAGACGCGTGAAGAGGAGGGTGTGACGTTTGAGCGGACGCTGGTGGCCTTAGAGTTTATAGACTGGCTCCTGCAGGAAGGTGAAATGCCCACCAGAGAGGAGGCCGAGCAGTTGGGACGCAGACTGCTGGAGCACGGCATCATTCAGCATGGTGAGATCATGGGCAGAATAGAGTCCTGCAGCATACACGCATACCTTAATCAAAGTCATGTGGTCTGACCCCTGCAGACCCTCATGATTGTGTTTCAAGTTCGATACGGCTTGTAAAAAAAATTAGTTAAATGATACTTTTTTTTCAAATTGTGTATTTTTGGCATGCAACAACAACAACAACTACAAAAAAAAACATAATTTGTATTAAAAAAAATGAAACAAAAAAATAAAAGATTAAAATTAAAATTTCATAAAAATGTTGTTTTAATTATTAACATAATTGATTATATAAAAATGCGTTTAAATTTTTTTCTTTAAATAAAGATTAAGATACACTCACGTGTATTAAAGGTGTGATGGAAAATATGTTATTACTCTTTACTTGATAGTTACACTACATGACATTTTTTGTATTACATTAAATGTAAACCTTTCTTGAAAAAAAAAAAGTTTGGAGAACTAAAATACATTAAATCAAACTTTCATTTGGTCATTTAAATTAAACATAACTTTAAAGTTATGGACCTACTGAACCAAGTCATAGATTGACATTGTTCTAGATGGCATTGTTCCTGAATTATAGTTCATGGTTTGCTGCATGAACTTAAAGGGATAATCCACCCAAATATTTAAATTCTATTATGACAGATTATTAAGAATGTTGGTAACCAAACTGTTTATACTCCCCATGAATTCCATAATATTTTTTTCCATGCTATGGATGTCAATGGGGACCAATAACTGTTTGGATATCCACATTCTTCAAAATATCTTCTTTTGTGTTCATCAGAAGAAATAAATTCATACAGGTTTAGAATGATTTGAGGGTGAGTAAATGATGACAGAATTTTCATTTTTGGTGAACTATCCCTTCAATACTGTTTATTTGACCATTGAATTGTAGTCTAATTTGCTCATCATGACATCCTTTAAAATATACATGCATTGAAGTAAACGTGCAGTATTACGTCATTCGTGTTATTAAATATGATATGGGGGGATTGGTGGAGTCATGACTAAACAAGAGGAAAGACTCTTTGATGGTCAGCAACAGATGGACATACCTCTGACCAGGCAACAGCCAAACACAGCGTGACACACTAGAACACATCTACACAAAATGATTCCCATGCATAACACACAGCCGTATGTATACACACACCCAATACAAACCTGCACACACACACACACACACACACACACACAAACACACAAATAGTGGTTACCATAGAACAGAGCTATATACCCTTCAGTTCAGTCACACACACACAACAGTCACATGCACAGCAGCACAATCAGAGCCCTGTTGGGTCTGATACAGTGTCTTTGTTTGACAGGACCTTTCCTGTCTGATTTCTGCTGACTTTGAGAAATCTGCTTATTCTGCTAAAGGCATTACAGGCCGCCTCCTCTGACCTCTCCCACTGCACAGAAAAAACACAAATGTTACATTAAATTAAATTGAGACAAACTTTTCAACACAATTAAGTTAAGCCTTAAAAAAAGATTTAAGTAATTAAATGTTTATAATTTATATATAATGCATATACCCCCTTTTAATATTTTTAATTTCCTTTTTTTTTTGGCAACTGATACATTTTTTCAGGTGTGCAACAAGAAATAAATGCACAATTTTTAATTGTACTTATATTTAATATATAACAAAGTATTATTAAACTAATTCAATTACTTTTATTAAAAAAAATAAATTTTTAAATAAGTCATTGTTCACTAATTTATAGCCTTAGTTTAAGCGAGAAAAGTACAGACCAAAACCTGCCAAATTAAGAATCAATCAATCCTATTTCTCAGCTTAAATAAATGCACACTTGCCAAGGTTCCACAGTTCTATATTCTTGTTTCTTTACTACCTCATAACTGAATCAGTGTCTCTTTCTATATTATGTTCATAGGCGTGCAGATATTAAATAAAGCAAAAACCACACCATAACTGAACAAAGGTTTGTGCCCTGACTTGAATTTAGCTGACACATTTGGATACAGTCAAAACAGCAAGCAGATCATGACAGGGCATCCTGGGAAATCTGCTGTTTTAAACCAACAAATCAGTGAAAAACTGTACTGTAGTTGACTGTAGATTAATTTTGTTTTTTTGCCCACAGCAGTAGGGCAAAGGATACAGTAGAGATGAAAGGAAAAAGGAAAAGCAGGTTTTCAGCCTCTCTTGCTATTTTGCCACTTGTGGCCCCTCTCAGCCTCTAGCTGTCAGCGGAGAGGCCCCCTGACATGAAGTTGCATAACTGCAGTGTTTCCCTCACATAGACTTTACTGGGCAGGCCGCCCAGGTATATAAATGGCCTCCTAAGTATATTTGGGGAAACATTTTTGCTTTTATTATTTTTATGCTCTTATACTTTTTTTTTAATCCGCCCGAAATAATGAAATCATCCGCGATCGATTACGGCTGAGGGCTCAGCCCCCCTGTGGATAAAATCCTAGAACTGCCCCTGGTATCGTGTAGCGACAATAGTCCGAGATATCGCCTGTGGCTGATGCCTTTGACGATAGCTAGACAGACGATTGTTATTTTTATCAGGTTAGTATTATTATCTAATTAATATTAGGTCTTAGTTGTTCCATCATATTTCTTTTTTTTTCTTTTTTAAATACAAATTCAGTCATATTAAAAATATTTCAGTATAAGTCATTATAATCAGTAATTATGTCCCCACTGGATGCAACAAATGTCTCGTTTATAATGGGTTTTATTGATTTTGTCTCGTTGCGCCGGGAAACGGCATCACAGTATGGTAAGGAGTGTAACATTTCCGTCACACGCTTGAGGAATTCGGCCAATCACAACGCACTAGATAGCTGGCCAATCAGAGCACACCTCGCTTTTCAAAGCGAGCGTTTAAGAAAGGTGGGGCGTAGAGGAGAAACAATAATGTACAGTATGTGGAAAAGAATGTGTTTTTTGAACCTTAAACCGCATAAACACATTTCATTACACCAAATACACAAAATAATGTTCTTTTTTAGCAACGTCATATGACCCCTTTAAATAAATTAGCATGATAATATCGTGTATCGGCGATCTCACAGGCTGACGATATGACTAATGAGCATATCGCCCAACACTATTGAGCTTGATTGTGAATTGCACTGCACTGTGTCGAGAAGCATGTGTAAATCTGTTGTCAGTGTATCGCAGCCAGTGAAAATTGCACTGCACAGTTGTACAACGAATAAGCATGAAAAATTACACATATGAACTCATTCCCCCTCCGTTAGGGTGGAGACGGCAGTGATCTCTCCAACCAGAAAGTATGTTCTCTGCTTTTCCTGCTTTTGCCTGTGGATGAATGTGCCCAGCTGTATGTGTGGGAGTTTTGTTCAGGAGGACTCAGTGAGTGGAGGGTTTAGCTTAGTGAAAACGCAAGTTTTTTTTTGCATGATTTGAGCTAAAGAAGCTAGATTTTAATGCTGAGTTATGTCCATCAAATAATCAATGTTTATTTAATTTGTATAGAAATTCTAAATGAAAAGACAAATCAGTATTTTTTACCTGTTTCATCAGTGCTACAACAGTTCTTGCTCTGCTTCAGATTAACCAAATGTTGAAGGTTTTTTATTTGACACATACATATTACATGTGATGTAGTGCAATTAAATGGTTTCCCCTAGTTCCTTGTGTCCCACAGTGCAACAACAACAACAATAATAGACTATCAAGAATATGACGTGAACCCACCCCTGAATGTCATTTAGATGAAAAGATTTCTATTTTGAATAAATGCTGTAATGCTTTAACTTTTTATTCATCAAAGAATCCTGAAAAAATGATCACAGGTTCCAAAAAAAATATTAAGCAGTACGTCTGTTTCCAACATTGTTAATAAATCAGCATATTGATATGATTTCTGAAGGAATAATGTGACACTGAAGACTTGAGTTATGGCTGATAAAAATTCAGCTTCACCACCACTGGAATAAATTATATTTTAAGGGATATTAAAATAGAAAATCATAATATTTCACAATATTATGTGATATTTCATAATATTATTACAATAGTACAAATAAATGCAGCCTTGATGAGCATAAGAGACTTCAAAAATCAGTAAAAATCTTACTGATCCTAAACTCTTGAACAGTAGTGCATATGTATGTCATTCTTATTTTGCCTTTTGATATTTATTTGTGAATTTATATGTCATTTTTAATTTAATATTTTTCTGTGCTTGTATGTCTCTATAATGTGCTATAAAATAGAAAACTGTGGCCACTTTACACGAGTAAGCCGGAAAATGGACCAGAATTTTTGCATAAAGGCAAATCACTTGTTCTGCAAGACTAGCCATGTAGTGATAGTCAGACAATGAGGTAGTGTTTAGCTCATCTAGCTCAGCTCTCTCTCTCCCACACACATTCATCTGCATTCCTCTGCACCACAAATCATATGCATCCACTGTGCTTGATTGCCCATGGCATAACCGTTTGATTTTGCTTGTTTTAAATATTTTTTCCAGTTTTTTAGAAATCTCAATATTTTATTGTGTATTGATAGCATAGTTACTCAATATTTTATTTTAAATTGGTGAAAGGTGGAATGTCATATTTAATTTTTCCTACTGTTTGTCTTTGAAATATTGACATGGCAGAACACAGTAGAAAGTTAAAGCTGTCATGTGAAACTAAATGCTGTGTTTGAAACATGATGACTCATGGGATATTATGCAAGAAGGGAGTTTAGAATTGCTCTATTATACTCCTGCATAGGATTATGGGATGGGATTCTAAAATGGGATGTGCACCTCTTACACAAACACACACAGTCTCACATACTTAGACCTGGTTAGACTGGTTTTCCTGCTTCTAGCACAAAAAGATTAAATAAGAAGAGACTTCAGCTTTTTCTGCTATTTTGCCACTTCTGCCCAATTAATGAAATTAATAGTAAATAAATGTTTTACTTCAATTAAAAAAAGCCTTAAAGTTAAAATCCAAAATATTAATATTGTGTTGACTTTTGTATTTTTTTGCCTTTCACTTCTAGATTTTAGACCATTGTGGCTTGACAGATCACGTCTTCAATCCCAGTAAACTGACATATGACCTCTTCTCTTTATGCATTTCTCATTTTTTCTCCCTAGTTTCTAACAAGCACCATTTTGTGGATGGCGGACTGCTTTACCAATTCAGGATGAATTTCCGGCGGCGGCGGCGACTGATAGAGCTTTTGAACGAGCGTTGTCGCAGCATACCGGAGAACCATGACAGCCCTTTCTGTCTGCGCAAACAGGGCTCTGAGGGGGGAAACACCAGCTTCCTTTCAGGTTAGTCCACGATCATAAAGGAAATCTGCAGAATGCGTGCACAACGGTGTTCATTACACCCAGTAGTTTGTGATATTGATTTTTAAGATTTAGTGGACACAGCTGTGGTCATTTATAGTGGCAGGTAGACAATGAACTTCTGGATGTGGTCTCATGCATTTTTAATTTGCTGTTGATGCGCTGCACGTGTAGATAATGAAGGACAACCAAAATCAATTTCAATGTAGTAAGGAAGTTGCTGAAAGGACACACTGTGAGCTCACATGTGAAGAAGTGCATCATCTGGAAAACATTGCTTTCAGTTTGAAGTGCCATATTTGTGTACAAACATCTAATAAGTTGAAAGGAGACTCACTAGTGTCAGTTGATTTATTTTTTTTTAAATAATTTTTTATATAAATAATAAAATAATTTTCAATAATGTTTAATAATATTTAATATGTAATAACATGTCTAATAACATGTAATACATTCTCAAATATTTTAATAATCAGATGTATTACATTGTGCAAGCATATAAGCAAATAAATCCAGTGAATTGCATACATTAATATTTGATGACAAAAAAGCCCATAAATGAAGATTATTCAAATACATTACATTACTGTGACAGGCAAGTACTGCACTGAATATCAATTCATAATTTTTTAATACTGAATTTTTAAAAAATAATATTTAATAAAATATGTAATACATTTTTATTATTTCAAATAATCAAATGCATTACATTATAATCAAGCGTAAGCACAAATAAATCACAATGAAGCAAAAGTCCCTAAATTAATATTTTCAAAGACATTGTATTATTGTGACAGACGAGTACAGCATTAAATGAACACTACGAAAAGCTTTTACTAGTCTTCAATCCACCATTTTGATTGACAGTTTTATTTTTAGTTGTTCTCACAGCCTGTGAATGCTTATGTGTGCTTACTAGAGCTTTCAGGTGAGGGTTCACAGAGTTTTTGTACTCAAAGTATTAAATGCATTCAAATAGGGAAGGTTGTAGTTTCTGATCTCCACAGATTTTTTCAGACTTGTTGAGGGAGTTAATGAAAATTAGCCCACAAAAATAAAAAATTACTCACCCTCAAGTCATCCTAGGTGTATATGATATGCAAGAAGGGAGTTTAGAATTGCTCTATTATACTCCTGCATAGGATTATGGGATGGGATTCTAAAATGGGATGTGCACCTCTTACACAAACACACACAGTCTCACATACTTAGACCTGGTTAGACTGGTTTTCCTGCTTCTAGCACAAAAAGATTAAATAAGAAGAGACTTCAGCTTTTTCTGCTATTTTGCCACTTCTGCCCAATTAATGAAATTAATAGTAAATAAATGTTTTACTTCAATTAAAAAAAGCCTTAAAGTTAAAATCCAAAATATTAATATTGTGTTGACTTTTGTATTTTTTTGCCTTTCACTTCTAGATTTTAGACCATTGTGGCTTGACAGATCACGTCTTCAATCCCAGTAAACTGACATATGACCTCTTCTCTTTATGCATTTCTCATTTTTTCTCCCTAGTTTCTAACAAGCACCATTTTGTGGATGGCGGACTGCTTTACCAATTCAGGATGAATTTCCGGCGGCGGCGGCGACTGATAGAGCTTTTGAACGAGCGTTGTCGCAGCATACCGGAGAACCATGACAGCCCTTTCTGTCTGCGCAAACAGGGCTCTGAGGGGGGAAACACCAGCTTCCTTTCAGGTTAGTCCACGATCATAAAGGAAATCTGCAGAATGCGTGCACAACGGTGTTCATTACACCCAGTAGTTTGTGATATTGATTTTTAAGATTTAGTGGACACAGCTGTGGTCATTTATAGTGGCAGGTAGACAATGAACTTCTGGATGTGGTCTCATGCATTTTTAATTTGCTGTTGATGCGCTGCACGTGTAGATAATGAAGGACAACCAAAATCAATTTCAATGTAGTAAGGAAGTTGCTGAAAGGACACACTGTGAGCTCACATGTGAAGAAGTGCATCATCTGGAAAACATTGCTTTCAGTTTGAAGTGCCATATTTGTGTACAAACATCTAATAAGTTGAAAGGAGACTCACTAGTGTCAGTTGATTTATTTTTTTTTAAATAATTTTTTATATAAATAATAAAATAATTTTCAATAATGTTTAATAATATTTAATATGTAATAACATGTCTAATAACATGTAATACATTCTCAAATATTTTAATAATCAGATGTATTACATTGTGCAGCAAATAAATCAAATAAATCCAGTGAATTGCATACATTAATATTTGATGACAAAAAAGCCCATAAATGAAAATACATTACATACATTACATTACTGTGACAGGCAAGTACTGCACTGAATATCAATTCATAATTTTTTAATACTGAATTTTTAAAAAATAATATTTAATAAAATATGTAATACATTTTTATTATTTCAAATAATCAAATGCATTACATTATAATCAAGCGTAAGCACAAATAAATCACAATGAAGCAAAAGTCCCTAAATTAATATTTTCAAAGACATTGTATTATTGTGACAGACGAGTACAGCATTAAATGAACACTACGAAAAGCTTTTACTAGTCTTCAATCCACCATTTTGATTGACAGTTTTATTTTTAGTTGTTCTCACAGCCTGTGAATGCTTATGTGTGCTTACTAGAGCTTTCAGGTGAGGGTTCACAGAGTTTTTGTACTCAAAGTATTAAATCGGAGTTATATTAAAAATTGTCTTTGATCTTTCAAGCTGTTTCATGCCACTCAGCGGGTGTTGCATGCATCAGTCCAAAAGAAGTTAAATTAAAAGTGCCCATCCATAAAAAAAACGTCTCACACGGCTCCGGAGGGGGGAACAAAGGCATCCTGTAGCGAATCGATGCGTTTTTGTATGCCTCGTAAATATGTAAATATTTATGTAATATTACATATGTAAATACTTAGCTGCTTCCGTGTAGGACTGTTGGCGCAAGCTACATTAAAGTGATTATTACGTTTTGAATATGGATATTTTTTAGGGCTGCGATCAAAGACAATTTTTAATATAACTCCGACTGGATTCGTCTGAAAGAAGAAACTCATATACACCTAGGATGCCTAGGACACCTAGGGTGAGTAATTTGTGGGCTAATTTTCATTTTTGGGTGAACTAACCCTTTAATGCACCGGATCTGATTTATTATCTGTTTTTTTGTGATAAGTATGTGAAAGGTGAACATGCAAAGACAAGCAAGCGTAACATGTCCCTTTTGCCCAGTTTTCCATTTTTAATATTCCATTTTAGTTAATTTGTCAATATTAGTCACTATTATACATGTAACCTCAGTTTTTCAAACTGCTTTTTTTTCTCTTGTTTAGATTTACAAAATTTAGATTCATGCTAGTGTTTTAACACATAGTATTATACTAGACAGAGCTAGAATATAGCCCTTAATCATGTTGAATAATGAACTACAGTAAATGTAAACTCAGATTCAGTTTCATATCAAGTGTTTTTCAGTATTGGCCTGTAGATTCAGTAGCACGAGTCAGTAGAGGAAGTTAGTTCAGTGTGTCTTGGGACTGGGCCTCTCTGGTTCCTCTTCTCAGAGCGGAATAAAATATGAACTCTAATTTTCCATGTGCCTGTGGTGTGTGTACTATATGTATGGTGTTCCTTTGTTTAAACATACGCAAGTGCATAAATTCAAGGTTTATAACTGCCAATCAGGTAGATTAGTACACAACACTTTTTCTTTTTTACTGCATGTTTTGATGGCAATATAATCAGTGTTTTTTTTCCGACTACAGTATAATTTGTTTATTAATTATTTGTTATTATTTATAATTTCACAATGATATTACTCAAAATAAACAAAATATTGAAAAAATAAGATGGAATTATTTATTAATTTATTTTCTTATTTATATTTATAGATTTATTTAGTTGTATACTAAAATAAAAATGTATAACCTAAAATTGTAAATAAATAAAGAATTTTCAGTTGACCTATGATTAGCCATTTATTTAACTGATGTTTAAAAAGACTTATATTTCTAAGAATAAATGAACATGAAATATTTTGATAATTTCTATACATTTTATTTATTTGTATTAACATATTAATTTCTTTCTTCACATTCTAGTTTGACATCGCACTCGAAGTTAATCAAGTAAAAAATTTTTTTTAGTTATAAAAATGTGAAGAGTGGTAGTGTTAACGTTTATCTATAATTAGCCCTATATAAAGCTAGAAGTCTGGTAACGTATGTCTATTTTGATAGCTAGCTATAAACCTGTATGTGTGTTCTTTATTTGATGCTTTTTGCCATACAATACATTTATGTTAAAAGGAGAACACTAACAGATGTTAGGCCTTCGTCTGAACTGTTATTTCAGTTTGGATGTTTACATTCCATAACATTATCTACACTGCACTATTGGAATGATATTTTGAGCTGGGAGAAGTGTTGCGTGTGTATTTTAACTGATCACTATTCTCTCTCTCACTTGCTCTTATCAAGTCTATCTAACCTTATTTCTGTCTTTCTCAATCTCCTTCCCCTCAGTGAGCCCCACTAAAGAGATAAAGGTGGTGTCGGCTGTACGGAGGAGCAGTATGAGCAGCAGTTGTGGCAGCAGCGGTTACTATAGCAGCAGCCCCACACTCAGCAGCAGCCCCCCTGTGCTCTGCAACCCAAAGTCTGGTAAGAAAAGCCCCCTTCTGTGCTCAAACACTCCATATATGTCAACTAATTTGGGTATTTCAACACAATAAATGACGCACATCATCTTTAAGTAGGCAAATCAGGTCAGTTTTGATTTCTTGCTGTCTTGACGCTTCCTAACCTTCACGTTTACATTAGCATGCCAACTAGCATTAGCTTTAGCACTTGTTTTTACACTCTGCTTAAATCAAATGGCCCTACTTCTGATAGCACTGTGCATTTGTCAAGCCGCAGACGGCTTACTGAGATTCCGTAACCACATGCTGCTCTTTGTGGGCTCATAGGTGAAATGATCCGAAATGATGAATTGCTAAGGATTGCTTTAGCTTTGTTGTTTGTGTGCTTTCAGGCCATAAAGCCACATCAGCTAGTTCTCCCTCTGTTCCGTTTGGCCTTCCTCCACTGTAATTGTGTTTGTTGACAGTAATTCTGAGAGGCGTCGGCCGTGTATTTCCCATTAACTTTTTCACCCCTCTGACAGAGATTCTCCTTGTTAACTTGTATCAGAAGAATGAGTTAACAAGATTATATTCAAAGGAATAGTTCACACGGTAGATCAATAGTTCCGAATTTCCTTGGTATTGTAATAGTGTGGTTACATTCACCGTTGCTTTCCGAAATTTTGTAGGCGAAATCCAATCATTATTCTTTGTTATACTACAGGGCTGTTGAACGCTTGAATCTGATTGGTTGACGAACGTTCTAAGGTGTGCAATTATTTTCTGGGAAATGGACGGCTAAAGTAGTTCCAGGCAGGCCTTACATGTCCATATCACTTCGCCAAATGATTTCAGTTTCAACAGGCCTTGCAGCCTACAACAGCAAAAGAACCAAAACCCACAATGACACTGACCAAGCAATGTACAGAAAGCACTGCTGTCGTTTTCCCGCTCTCTATCCCATACAAACGCACACACATACAGTACAGACACACACAGAAACGTGTTGTTAGCGCTAGGGATGTTCATTTCGGTTATTTTTCTGAGCTCACGATATTAGATTTTTCACACCACGGTTATTGTGTCCAAAAGAATTAACGGTATCGATATATCGCGATATCTATAGAAACCTTAGGGAATCAGCCAAATAAATTTTTACTTTGTTTATTTCGTTTTTCTTTTTACCCAATGAACATAAGGATACTGATAAACACAGGGCACATGCATTTTCACTTCTTCTTCAGGTCACAGCTGACCTGAGACTCTGGCTTTCTCGGTCTTCTTTGAAGCTCCCTATGAAATAACAAGAGAGAAAATACTGTCAAGTTCAACAGTATAATGAATAAATATTAACATCAAATCTGATACTTTAACCTGTTAACTTGCGTACCCGTATTTTAATCTCTTTAACTTATAGTTGCGCCGGCGCCAATGAAGTCATGCAGTTAACGCGCTTCTAATTCAGTATTAATGTGCACCCAGAATGACTGCAGATGAGGCATTAAGTGCATGGCACTGCGACCAGCTTTACATTTTACAGAGTTTAATGTGGTCGCTCAGTTTTTCTAGATCAGTTTTAATCGTGTAATAGATTTGAACAAAGAAATCAATTGCTACACAAAGGCAGTATTGGCCATGACTTGATTGCAAATACAAATACAAAAATTAGACGAGTAAAGAAAACGCGGTACTTATTAAAAGAATCACCCTTTTATTTAAATATATGAAAACAGGAAACCGCTGTTAACAGGTTAATGTAACATTTCCCATTCAATGACTAGTAAAATAATGGCAACTTACTGTCTGGATAATATTGAACATGGTTCTTCTGAGATATATTCATCTGCAGACCCGCGGCATGGATACTATTGGTTCTTCTTGGAGTAGTGCAGCCGCACGCTTTGTCTTCTTCTTGTATGACAGGTGTCAGTGTTAAGGCGCAATACTGCCACCTGGCTATTTGCGTGTCGTGTTATCATAAGTGTCCTGTTCATTTTAAATATCATGGTTATCACCAATACCGGTATATCGTCACACACTAAATTAACACGATGTCGATATTTCCTGATTTGAATATCACCGTTATCGTCAATACCGGTATATCGCGACACCCCTAATATATATATATATTGTCGCGGGGTGAATGAGAACACAGACTCGGTACTGATAGAAAGTGCCCCGGAGGGTGATTTATTGCCCACACACTGATCACACGTGCTCAGAGGAATGGTACTCGGTGCCAGTCTCCACTCGGTGCTCGTGGGGTGAGGTGCCGTGGTGCAGATCCCTCTCCTGGGGTGCCGTCGGAGTCTGTGGATAAGGAGAAACAAGCATTAATGTTGCCTGGAGCTCCGTTGCAACTCCGCTCTGGTGTCTCTTCTCCTGGCTTTTATGGCCAGCGGGAACGAGCTCCAGGTGCGCCACTCATCACGCACAAGTGTTGTGCTTCTGTGATCAGTGTGGCAGCGGCGTTTCCAAGGCGACGCTGATCTGGAACCGGGATACCCGCCACAAATACTAACATTTGTTTCCCGGGGATTAATTTAACATTCGCAAAAAGCAGCAAACAACAGAACATAAGGATTCACATGGTCATCATATCACATCACGCACCTGCAGTGCTTCTGCAAGCGGAGAAAAACATAATAAAGCTAGGCTATATATATATATATGCTTAACTGTAGGCCTATTTATTCATTATATATATATATATATATATATATATATATATAACGAATGAATAGGCCTATACGAGAAATATATCTTTACTTAAATAATATATTAAGAAAATGAAAGAAAAACTGTGCAACAAGTAGCCTAGTATGCAGAGTTTCGGTTAATTTTTGTGCTGCGCGAAAGGAAAAAGACGGCAGAAAGCGGCATCCTATTTTTCTTAAGGCTTATTTTACAAAAGCACAAAGATTTGGTTTTATTGTGAATGTACACAAATAAAGGCAAAACTTTTACAATTCCGATTATATTTAGGATTAAAAGGAGTAGTTGCTTCCACTGTTAGAAGGAAAAAATTAAAGTGATTGCGCCAGCGCCGCATGCGCGCACACAGTTAAGCATTGCAACCTTGACAGTGCAGCCTGTTCATTATCATAATAAAATGCAGTCAGTCAAACATATGTAAAAAAAACGATGTAGTAAAAAAATATGTAGTAAAATCTGTGCCGTTAAGTGTTATCACCATACCGCCGTGATGTTATGCAAAACATTTTGTTTTACGTGGATATTAGAACGCGAGTGAAGTACATAATAAATAATAATTTGCCATTCAAATACATCGCGAATACGGAAACATTTGATTTTGTGTCGAATGAGAGACCCAACGTTGGTTTCAGTTT